TCCTTCACTGCAGCCTGAACTTCCTCCTGGATAACCGGGATATAGAGCTCTAAAGCCTCCCTGGAAAAGGCGCGCAGGATAGCCTGAGGGGCACAGGAGTGATGATGGAAGACTTAGTGAGACCATTTCACCTCAGAGCTGGTGTCCTTGAATGTTTTTAGTCAGGCAATATGCCACTAATAACATTACAGCTCGACAAATCAGCAGCTGACATCACTTCATTTACACTGATTCCAGGTCAGTGTGTTAGCAAAACGTGAAAAAGATGATTTGTATCTGAGACCAGTTTCAGAATAATTGTGCACACAAATGAAGAGCACAGACCAGTCAGCTCAATCCGACTTTAATGTTTAGATATGGTTCCAGCTCAGCACATTATTGCCCTGCCAAGCTCCTGGCAGATGTGCAAAGAAATAACTGTTAACAGGAAGAGATCGCCAACAGATCCAGGCTCACGGGAGCAGCGACGTAGAACGACCAGCGACCAGATGGGGGGTGAGGGGGAAGGACTAGAGCAGAGAGGAGAGACCACAGCGAGACGAAGGACAAAGACGTGCAGAACATGAAACATGAAACAGGAAAGAGTCTATTAGCAGTATAACGAAGCTGCTTCAGCATCACCTGCTGGAGTCCTGATTTTAAGCTTTATCAAAACAGAAACATTCAAGCTGGGTTTTTAAAGCAGGGTGGGTGTGGGGGGCACAACTCCGTGTGGGCTTCTGCTCGACAAAATCCAGTTTGTCTAAAAATGCTGTGGTCAAAAAACCTCGACCACATCTTCATGAAGCAAAAACATTTTGGGTCAAGCAGCCTGCCGACCAGTTATTACAGTTCCTGTAACATTCAGCACACTGATCCCAGCTCAGCCGGCTTTTCCTTCATTACTCTTTAGTTTCACTATAATTATTTGTATATATATTCAGAGACGGCTTTAAACCATCTATGGACATTTTTATTTCTGTAGTAAAACTTGGCATATTTGCTTAAACCAGAATCAATGTTAAAGGAAAATTACATTTTTCCCCTCACATTTGAAAAAGTAAGCAACCTTTCAGAGACCATCACTGGGTGTCTTTTGCGATGAGATTCTCTCTTTATTAGTTTGTGCTCAAATGTGGGACTTTACAGGACACCAACTAGCAGAAACTCCCAAAATACGGATCCTGATTCACTCTTTTGACAATTTGGGGCTTTTATCTTTACAGTTTAAGATATTCATGTTCAAACACTGCCACAGATTTCAAAAACATGGATGGAGCATTCTCTGGAGGATTGGATATGAAGCTAAGATTGCAAAAAAACCAAAGTCTAAATTCTAAACGATTTTCGATTCGATTAAAACAAATTAGATTCTGAGATTGTGTTTGTAGATGAATGACCCTGGTATTAGAAAGACAAACTACATTGTGTCAGAGGACATCAAGTCTCTGCTTTAACAACATGACAGAAAGTTTCTTTAAAAACAAACAACAACAAAAACACTTCTGAATGAACTGTAAGCAACATACAACACAACTACAAGCTGTCAAATCTGGAGGTGTAGTGTGACAGATATGACTGTAGCATGATGACATTGAGCTTCAGCACCTGGAGGTAACTGGTGTAAACTGGTGCAAACTGGTGCCATGTCACAAACCTGAACAGAACCGAAGTGACCGAGCTCGAGTTTCCCGGTTTTTGTAGAAAGGATGCATTTGTTCAGAGTTTGGACGCAAACCTGACGCAAACCCCGCCCTGTAGCCAGCGCTCCCTCTGCGGAAAGGTCAAAGTAACTTACTTTCTTTTTAGTCTTGTGCTGAGCTCCGTGCACGTTGGAGAGCGTCTCCGTGCCCAGGATCGCGCGAACAGAAGCGGGCCACTGCGCGGACACCAGCCTGTGCTCCCCCAGGAGGATCTGCTTGACGTTATCCGCGCCAGTCACGCGCACCGTGCGGTTCCCGAAGAGGTGTGTGCGGTAGATGTAACCGTACTTCTCCCGCTTCATCCGAAGAAATGTTTTCCTCTGTGAACATGTGGCCACACAAACAAACTGTCATGTGTGGGTGGTTTTACCCTCACGCACATTAAATATACACGTACACGTTTATGACAGTGGGTTCGTTTTAATTCCACACTTCCCAGAAGCTCCGGGAAACCCAAACTTTCACGTTTAAACTGAATATAATATTTCATCCTGATGATGACCAG